TTTAATTCAGCAATTGATACCGAGAAAAAGAAAGGCGGTAAAATGAGGTTATCTTTTTTAAATGAACAATAACATGTCTTAGAGTAATATGACTATTTAGGATATCATTTTTTATGAAAGATAATATTTCTAAGAGTAATTATGAACTTCACAACCACCAGCTTATCAATCTGTTTGTTTTCCTCTAGATATTGTGTGTTTTCTTGTAGTTTGTATGTGTTTAAATTTAATGTCAAAACATGCGTACATTCCTCCCTTTAAATCAACTTCAAGAAATGTTTAAGAATAGATAGATTAATCTATTTTGATTTTTTGCATATAATCTTATCATGATTTGCTTTCCAAAATAATTTTTCTCTTAAATAAGAGAAAAATAAAACGATGCTTTATGACGTTAAACAAATGCAGAAGTAGATTTCTGTTCTAATACGACAGAATGATAGATTTTTTTCTTCAAATCAAAATATTTCTTTATTGTTGTTTTGGAAGACTGAAAATCCAACATTTCTGTTTCATGACATGTGTTAGATTTAATGTGACAGGACCATGTCTCTTATTATCCAAGATATTTAGACATGTAAACATTATCTATGGTTACAATAATGTCTCGAGTAATATTGAAATTTCCTTTTTCCATTTCATCTCTGGCTTGTTATCAACGAATCGGAAAACAGCATGTAAGTAGTCAATTCCTCATCAGTGTTAATGATAATTTGAATTCACTTATTCACTTTCTTCTCTCCCGCCTATACTTTCTGTTTCAGCCTAGCACAAACTAGACATTAATACGTTATATCAGTAAGTGCTCCTGTATGACAAATATCCATATCATATAACCGAAGAGTATAGCGGAATACTCGATTTTGGGTGATTTAATTCAGCAATTGATACCGAGAAAAAGAAAGGCGGTAAAATGAGGTTATCTTTTTTAAATGAACAATAACATGTCTTAGAGTAATATGACTATTTAGGATATCATTTTTTATGAAAGATAATATTTCTAAGAGTAATTATGAACTTCACAACCACCAGCTTATCAATCTGTTTGTTTTCCTCTAGATATTGTGTGTTTTCTTGTAGATTGTATGTGTTTAAATTTAATGTCAAAACATGCGTACATTCCTCCCTTTAAATCAACTTCAAGAAATGTTTAAGAATAGATAGATTAATCTATTTTGATTTTTTGCATATAATCTTATCATGATTTGCTTTCCAAAATAATTTTTCTCTTAAATAAGAGAAAAATAAAACGATGCTTTATGACGTTAAACAAATGCAGAAGTAGATTTCTGTTCTAATACGACAGAATGATAGATTTTTTTCTTCAAATCAAAATATTTCTTTATTGTTGTTTTGGAAGACTGAAAATCCAACATTTCTGTTTCATGACATGTGTTAGATTTAATGTGACAGGACCATGTCTCTTATTATCCAAGATATTTAGACATGTAAACATTATCTATGGTTACAATAATGTCTCGAGTAATATTGAAATTTCCTTTTTCCATTTCATCTCTGGCTTGTTATCAACGAATCGGAAAACAGCACGTAAGTAGTCAATTCCACATCAGTGTTAATGATAATTTGAATTCACTTATTCACTTTCTTCTCTCCCGCCTATACTTTCTGTTTCAGCCTAGCACAAACTAGACATTAATACGTTATATCAGTAAGTGCTCCTGTATGACAAATATCCATATCATATAACCGAAGAGTATAGCGGAATACTCGATTTTGGGTGATTTAATTCAGCAATTGATACCGAGAAAAAGAAAGGCGGTAAAATGAGGTTATCTTTTTTAAATGAACAATAACATGTCTTAGAGTAATATGACTATTTAGGATATCATTTTTTATGAAAGATAATATTTCTAAGAGTAATTATGAACTTCACAACCACCAGCTTATCAATCTGTTTGTTTTCCTCTAGATATTGTGTGTTTTCTTGTAGATTGTATGTGTTTAAATTTAATGTCAAAACATGCGTACATTCCTCCCTTTAAATCAACTTCAAGAAATGTTTAAGAATAGATAGATTAATCTATTTTGATTTTTTGCATATAATCTTATCATGATTTGCTTTCCAAAATAATTTTTCTCTTAAATAAGAGAAAAATAAAACGATGCTTTATGACGTTAAACAAATGCAGAAGTAGATTTCTGTTCTAATACGACAGAATGATAGATTTTTTTCTTCAAATCAAAATATTTCTTTATTGTTGTTTTGGAAGACTGAAAATCCAACATTTCTGTTTCATGACATGTGTTAGATTTAATGTGACAGGACCATGTCTCTTATTATCCAAGATATTTAGACATGTAAACATTATCTATGGTTACAATAATGTCTCGAGTAATATTGAAATTTCCTTTTTCCATTTCATCTCTGGCTTGTTATCAACGAATCGGAAAACAGCATGTAAGTAGTCAATTCCTCATCAGTGTTAATGATAATTTGAATTCACTTATTCACTTTCTTCTCTCCCGCCTATACTTTCTGTTTCAGCCTAGCACAAACTAGACATTAATACGTTATATCAGTAAGTGCTCCTGTATGACAAATATCCATATCATATAACCGAAGAGTATAGCGGAATACTCGATTTTGGGTGATTTAATTCAGCAATTGATACCGAGAAAAAGAAAGGCGGTAAAATGAGGTTATCTTTTTTAAATGAACAATAACATGTCTTAGAGTAATATGACTATTTAGGATATCATTTTTTATGAAAGATAATATTTCTAAGAGTAATTATGAACTTCACAACCACCAGCTTATCAATCTGTTTGTTTTCCTCTAGATATTGTGTGTTTTCTTGTAGATTGTATGTGTTTAAATTTAATGTCAAAACATGCGTACATTCCTCCCTTTAAATCAACTTCAAGAAATGTTTAAGAATAGATAGATTAATCTATTTTGATTTTTTGCATATAATCTTATCATGATTTGCTTTCCAAAATAATTTTTCTCTTAAATAAGAGAAAAATAAAACGATGCTTTATGACGTTAAACAAATGCAGAAGTAGATTTCTGTTCTAATACGACAGAATGATAGATTTTTTTCTTCAAATCAAAACATTTATTTATTGTTGTTTTGGAAGACTGAAAATCCAACATTTCTGTTTCATGACATGTGTTAGATTTAATGTGACAGGACCATGTCTCTTATTATCCAAGATATTTAGACATGTAAACATTATCTATGGTTACAATAATGTCTCGAGTAATATTGAAATTTCCTTTTTCCATTTCATCTCTGGCTTGTTATCAACGAATCGGAAAACAGCACGTAAGTAGTCAATTCCACATCAGTGTTAATGATAATTTGAATTCACTTATTCACTTTCTTCTCTCCCGCCTATACTTTCTGTTTCAGCCTAGCACAAACTAGACATTAATACGTTATATCAGTAAGTGCTCCTGTATGACAAATATCCATATCATATAACCGAAGAGTATAGCGGAATACTCGATTTTGGGTGATTTAATTCAGCAATTGATACCGAGAAAAAGAAAGGCGGTAAAATGAGGTTATCTTTTTTAAATGAACAATAACATGTCTTAGAGTAATATGACTATTTAGGATATCATTTTTTATGAAAGATAATATTTCTAAGAGTAATTATGAACTTCACAACCACCAGCTTATCTGTTTGTGTTCCTATATATATTGTGTGTTTTCTTGTAGATTGTATGGCATTCACTTTAATGTCAAAATATGCGTACATTCCTCCCTTGAAATCAACTTGAAAAAATGTTAAAGAATAGATAGATTAATCTATTTTGATTTTTTGCATATAATCTTATCATGATTTGCTTTCCAAAATAATTTTTCTCTTAAATAAGAGAAAAATAAAACGATGCTTTATGACGTTAAACAAATGCAAAAGTAGATTTCTGTTCTAATACGACAGAATGATGGAATTTTTTTCTTCAAATCAAAATATTTCTATATTGTTGTTTTGGAAGACTGAAAATCCAACATTTCTGTTTCATTTCCTTGTTAGATTTAATGTGACAAAGACCATATTTCTTACTATCCAAGATATTTAGACATGTAACATATTACCTATGGGTACAATAATGTCTAGAGTAATATTGAGTTGTGATTTCCAATTTGATTTCATCTCTTGTTCTGACTGGGTCAGGAAACAGTAGTTTGACGGGGTAGATTGATTGTGATCGATTATGACTTGACTTAGTGTGTGCATTTATCAACATTAGCACACTGTAAATGGAGAAATCTTATGGACATACGATTTATATATATAAAGAAGTAATCAGGGGAAAGGGAATGAGGAAAGAGGGCGGTTTGATGATTGAAGAAAACCCATTTGGTAGTAGATCGCTTTTAATAAACACAGAGATTAAAAATATATATATGTACATGTCAACTTTACGGGGACATTGAGGAAGTTATTGCTTAAATACCTTGTATTACTGATATTTTACTTCAACCCTTCTGATGTTAAGTCTGTGATGATTTTTTTTATATTTCCTAGTCTAAAGCTTTTAACCTATGTTATTCAAACACTACCCAGAAAATACTATGTAATGAACATAACACAGAACGTCTTGACAAAATGAACATGAAAATATATGATGTCACCTCCCCTTGGAACATTTTTACATATGTAGCAAAAGTTTTGTTGTTTTTAAGGTTTTAACCTTGACATATAGGTGGTATGGTGCATTTCTTTTCTCTCTCAATTTAGGTGAAAGGAGTTTTAATCAGTATCTAGCGATATACGATGGACTCACGGAAAAGTATCGACACATACGCGTGGTATTCACAGGCGCTGAAGGCGCCGGAAAAACTTCCATATGTCGTCGTCTCCTGAAAGAACCTGTCAACCTCGAGGCGAGAGAACCAACTGTAGGGGCTGTGTTACGTCCTGCTTGTTTCTCAGTCAACTTGAATTCAAGAACATGGAAGCATGAAGGTAGTCGGGCACCAAATGATGTAGTGAGGACTCGTTTGGGAGCTGTGGTGAGAAACCAGGAAGCAAGGATTAGTTCGAGAAATGGTAATGTACAGTAGATTTAGAGTTTAGAGTGGTAAAGGTAATATAGCTCCAATCTTTTAACATAACTAAGCCACACTCGTTTGTTGGCGTTGATCAGAGATCCGCTTGCAAAACGATTTAGCATATTGTAGCTACCAACACTGCTGATGTTAAACTTGAAGACATAAAATAATCAAGAACATATGCAATATGATCAGTCCGCAAGTATCCCGTACCATCAAAAGATATAAAATTGAAGAAAGACATATTATATGTCTTGATTTTTATTTTGAAATATGAATCGTATACTATCTGGTTCGAAAGCGGGTTCATAATGGCAACACCAATATTCTCCATCACATTTCACCTGACATTACTTTTATCAGCAGGTTGAATAAAATGTTCGAGATCTTTTGAAAAGTTTACGTTATTAGTTCTATGATAAAACGTGAAATAGCAATTCCAAACTTGGAGTGTTTATTATCTCCCAAAGTCGACAGCTTATAAAGTTACAAATGTTTACCTGTACATATTTATTATTTTAAGGAATATATTAATTTCCATGAGATTAATGAATACTTTGTTATTAACATCTGAATAGATCAATTTTATCCGTTTTAAAAGAAGACAAGGTCGTAATTAATATGAGAGACGTCCCTCTCTAATAAGGTGTATGTGGACTTGATTCTGAATGGACTAAGAAACTCCGGAACTTGATTATTTTTCTTCATTTTCTCAGATTTAAATTGTATCATTTTAAAATAGATATGTCTTACTTCGTGGAGAAAATAACAAAATTAGTTGTGTTGATGCTTTAACCCGGCGACCTCTGCGGAAATGTAATACAGGTAACACTAGATCATCTCTTTGGATTTAATAATCCAATTTACAGCAAAATATACAAAACAGTGTCATGGTGTTTAAGCAGCTTGTCCATCCGTTCAACTCATATGTTCTCATAAAACATACTTATGAAATTGACTACACAAAAACGACAGGGCGCGTAAAAATAGCAGAACTTTAAAGACATACTGAAGATTAAAATGAATGATAAATTGATGAAATTTCCACACTAGTTATTTCTCAAGATTCTTGAAGGCGAATTACACTCCAAAAGTCGAAAGGATATTAAGTACATGTAAACATTTCTAAGAAAACAATACTGGTAAGATGAAGATGTTTCGACAAGAGTACCGACACCAAATATGTCAAATATTACTGGCACAAGTAAGACCTTTTCAGATATGTGGTAAAAAGTTGTAAATCAATCAATTTATCTACCTATAATACAGTTGGGTACGTATTCAATAAGGAATGAGAACATTTCTTACAATAACAACACGGATGTGTAATTCACCTTCAAATTTTCCTTTTCTTTTATTATCCTTTCCGTACTTAACAATTATTTACTCAGTAATCAAAAGGCTTTGTATATAATCACATTGTCAATTGTCGAGAAAAGGAATAGCTCAAACGGTTTAAGAAATGAAGGTGAATTTAAAACCAAAGGACGCTGAACATATGAACATTTAAAAGGAGTACTTAAGATTGGCATGTTGTTCAAATGTTCAGAGCGTGCAACTGCAATACATACATGTATCTAGACCACGTTTTCAAAAACAATTACAGCTATGTAATTTACTTTATTAGTGGTCGGAAGCAGCACAGGAATGCGAGAGCATGTATCATCAGTATCAAATGAACAACTGGAAGAGGCAATAGCAGTCTTACAGACTTCACTATATGCTGACACTGACTTAGCGTTTCTCTCCCTGTGGGATATGGGTGGACACATGTCGTTCCAGGCTTCACACAATGTTTTTATTTCGTCACATGGCGTGTACTTACTAGTCTTCAGATTGACCGATTTTCTCAAAAATAAGCTGGAAACGGGTAAGTAACTGAACAGCGTTAATCATTTAACAAAATAATTTATCTATACTGAATCGTCAAAACCGGCAAATTCTCGGCTAGCAATCAACTCCCAACTGACTGAGTGAAAAGACTAAGGACTTAGAATATCAACCGAAGTTAAATAAGTTGATCATCTACAGAACAATCATCCTACTGGTGACCCCATCATAAAGAGCCTCATATATATTTATTACAAATCGACAATGTATTATAGAATTGTTTATTTTCTCTGCTCTCGTGCTGTCTGTTTGTTGTCCTAGTTATTCTGAATTAACATCAGAAGATACCAGGGATGGGGGCATTCTTAAGTTAATTTAGTTAATTTGGAATTTAAAAGTTAAATTAAGTAATGATGCACTACCAAATATTCATAAGAAAATAAAGGCATTATCACCATCTTATAAACCAACTCTATAAACAAAAAGTTGAAGTATAAATAAGGGAGGATTCTGCTGAAGGTCTATATGATATTTATTAATCTATTCATCTTATATATTTATATAAAAAGGCACGTGTTATTTTAATTAATAGATTTTGAAACTTCTTATGATCTTTAAAATGCACCGTCAAAGCTTTACTTGGCAAAGACTATTTCGTAATCTTATCCTCATTTAATGATAAATGTTTTTTTCTCTTTTATATGGCCACATTTCTGTTTTCCACTTATGATGCTGCCTAACTAGCTCGTGTATATATGAAGTATTTATGTAGTTTGCAGATTAGGTATGTGTATGTATGCAAAAGAGGTCTGAGGGATATTGTTGATTGGCCAGACAGCATCTTCCTCAGAGAATGCTTTACTTCTATCTTCAAGAGTCTAGCTGAGGCATTCAGCTTCTTTCGTATTGAGACTCTTGCTAGTAACAAAATGGTCCGGTATCTGGATCACTTCAGAGTCTGATTCTCAGTTGAAAAGAGTGTACTAGTCAGAACATGTAGTTGTTTTCAATAGAGCAGCACCTGCTACGTCAAACCCTTAGCTTTGATATATAACTGTGGTATAATAAACAGGTCAAACTATCCCTGCGTATTTCGTTGTATAGTTACTGATATACATTCTCGGTTTTACTCGAGAAGCCGTCACCGTCTCCTCTTTCCATCATATATGTTCTCTATATTTTCTACATTACTACCCTTTTTGTTACCTACGTTTTCTACTTTGGTTGTCACTATTACGTGCAGTTATTGTTCCATTATCCGTCATTTATTCACTTCTTATACAGTCCGCCTGAAAAAATGGATCAGAATCATTGGCACGTTTTCTTCGTGTCAACTGAATGCACCACAAACGAGAACGCATGCTCCTCCGATAATTTTCGTCGGTACATTTTTGGATAAATTGAAGGAAAACGAGGTATGTGATAAAAATGTCAGTATATATCTGCTCTCCTAAAACTCATTTGTTATAGATAAGTTTGTCGTTTGTCTTTTTTAAGATGATGTTTAACTTGCGGTGCAAATCCTTATTCATATCTCTTTTCTGTAAGAAACATTTGAATGTTAACGTTCTCCACCATGACCGATCTTGATCCACAATGTGTCATTCAAAATAACCTTGATATTTTTCATGTCTGTTTGAAAAACAAAATTACATTGTTGAATAACAATTGCCAATAATGGTGAAGTCAACAGACATGAATATTTCGAAAGTTACGTGTGTCGTACTTTTTTTTCATTCCAGGATTACAACAAACAGATAGATACGATACGGTCAAGTATCTCAAAATTCCCTGAACTTTCAGCACACCGATTTGTCAAGTTCTGTACAGTCGACAACAGCCTCGGCGATGAAGATAATGACCTAGAAATAGTAAGAGATTTTATCACAGAGGCATCTGTTCATCAGGATCAGTGGGACAGACAAATCCCTACAACGTGGTTAAAACTCGAGATGGACCTACTTCAATTAAGAGAGAAAGGAACAAGGATACTCACAATGGAAGAGATCATCGAGATGAACAAATCATCTCCAGCGCCATTGTCCGATGTTGAGATCAAATTTGCCTTGGAGTAAGTATGTGTGAACTAATAATCAATAGATACATAAACAACTCTTTCCAATAATTGATGCTGAAAGCCAACATTCTGTTATATCAAGCTTAAGTTATCAAAGTTGTGTACTGCATTATCCATTTACCGAATCTATGAAACACATTTTTAGACGCATTTTGTCTTCGTCTTATCGCTATCAAGGCATGAATATATTGTAATCTAACTATTAAAGGCTGGATGCTTTATGCCTACGACACAGGTAAGTACTGAAGATACTATTGTGTTAACTGTACTATAATTACTCGTCTCCTTTGGGTTATAACACACACAAAAAATAATAATTGTCGTATTAGAGTGCTCGAGTTGTTTCACTATAACTCAGCAGGACATTTTGACTTCTTAATCACAAAACCCTATAGACCGTCGGATATTTTGTATATAATTATCAAAATTCGTTCTTTTGAATTTTAACTGAAATCTGATATTGTGTCATTTTATACAATCCTTTTAAGTAAGGTGATTCCTTATATAAAGTTATACCTTACCAATAATGACTGATGAAAAATATTTACACAAATGTCATGGAATTTTATATCTTAAATTCGTTCTCGTCGCATTAATTCATATCGACCACACTTTTTTGATGGCCATGAGTTTATTTATCTGTTATCTCATCTTTATCACTTAAATCTCTGACTTTCTCTTCCAAGTATGCCTCACAGAGTATCACCACCAGGCATATCACACAGCATTATCATCAGGCACAGCTCAAACACTATCATCCTGAGGAACAGTTCACACATTCTCCTTACCAGACAGCACTCACACAGTATCACAGTGTCACATCTTACACTATTTTATCTTCAGAAACAACGCACACAGTATTCCTACAAAGTTTCGCTCATATAGTATTATCATCAGACTTATTGCCAAGCACCGCTTACACAGTGATAAAGTCGGGCAGTGTTCAAACAGTATCACCACCAGGCACGGCTCGCACAGTCCATACATAATCATACAAGACACATCTTACACAATATCGGCACCAGGCTCAACTCTCACAGTATCACCATCAAGCACACCTCACAGAGTGGCACCACCAAACACGTCATACAAAATCCTCATCAAGCACAGCTAACACAGTATCATTACGAGTTACGTATCATACAGTATCACCACCAGGCCCGTCTCACACAGTATCACCACCAGACACATATCACACAGTATCATCAACAGGCCCATCTCAAACGGTATCACCACCTGGCACGTCTCACACAGTATTATCACCAGACACGTCTCACACGGTATCATCAACATCCACGTCTTATACAGTATTATCGGGAGGCACGTATCACAAAGTATCACCACTAGGCACATATCATAGAGTATCATCAACAGGCCGTCTTACATGGTATCACCACCAGGCCCGCCTTACACAGTATTATCACCAGGCACGTCTTACACGGTATCCTTACCAGGCTCGTCTCACACAGTATCACCACCAGGCCTGTCTCACACGGTATTAACAACAGCCGGGTCTCAAACAGGATCAATACCAGACAAATATCACACAGTATCACCACTAGGCACAAACTCACATCTAACCGTATCGTCAACCATTGTGAACAATACTGTATCACAATTCATTCAGTATCATCATCAGGGGATGCTATCAATGTACTTACACCAAACACACACTATCCTCACCAGGCACGTCTTATACAACATTATCACATCATCAGGCCTCACAGGGTATAATTACCAGGCATGTCACACAGCATTATTATCAGGCACAGTTCACAGTATCATCATCAGTAACAAGTCACTCAGTATCGGCATTGTCCACAGGTCATACAGTACTATCGCCAGGTACACCACCTCACACTCTATCATCACCGAAACAAATCACACAGTATTACTCCAAGGCACAGCCCACACAGCATCATTACTAAGTATAGTTCACAGTATCATTACCAGGAACAGCTCACAAGCATCGCCATCGGGCACAGCTCATACAATATTATCACCAAGAAAAAAGTTAAGCTAGATAGTTATATGATATTCATAAAAAAACAAACAACTGTTAAAATTTGCTGTGATGAAAAAAAGGAAATAATTTTGATATTGCTCGATTGAGATGATATTATTGGTTTATTTTGGATTAAAATAACACATTCCGTTTTAGATACCTTCACTGCACGAGGTCAGTTATATATTTTCGGGAGTTTGACTACGTCATCAACGACCCCCAGTGGCTTGCCGATTTCTTCAGTATCCTGATTACCGATGACCAATTTCTCACTGAAGGCGACCTCTTAATGGCCAGGGACCAGGAACTGTACAAAACAAAGGGCGAGTTGACACAGGAACTGATTGAAGACCTTTTACGTCTGGAGAAGAACCAAGCTTTCATTCCACATAAATCCATTCTTCTGGCGCTGATGGAAAAATTTGGATTGATAGTGAAAATGCAGATGTCAGGATCCGAATCTGAACATCGACGGTTCAGTGAGACGTATACAATCCCCAGCAAACTTATGGAACTGCAGAACATCGATGTAATAACCAGAGAGGTCACCAGCCTTAAGAGACAGTTTGTTGTTTCTAAAGCGTTATGCTTAGTATTCAACGATGTCTATGTACCTGATGAGTTGTTTCACAGAATCTTCGCCGAAATCCTCAGGACGTACACATCAACATTTTTGTCAACACAAAGCCTCGAAACAACGACTGAAATGGATCAGATGAGACCAGGAAGCGGTAACGCGTATCTTTATAGAGGTTTCGGTTGTTTCGAGATTAACGACCTCTGCGGAATTATTCTGTCTATGCAGCCTGAGAGGTCCACCATTGCCGTGACAGTATTCAGCCGAACGGAAACCGTTCTTCCCGAAGGATGCGGCAAACTTGTCAAGGTCTCGATCGAAAGGATTCTTCGTGACGCTTTAGAAATGAGTAACCAGCAACACTTTCAGCATACATACAAACTACACTGCAACTTCTTCCTGGGTCCATATGACACCCCTGTAGATCTGTACGGCGTCACCCACTCAGAAAGGGGCGTTCCATGTAAAGGGGTAGAGTGTCTAGGGCAACACCTTCTGTCAAGAATAGACGCCAAATTTTGGGATATCACACAGGTATAAAACTTATTATTTAGTATTAACACGTCAGCGATCAAATTTTAATTACAGTTCCCTGTTGTATTGTTTTCATTTTTTGTCTTACTTATGGACATGACTTCGTGATGGAGTATTTCAGATAAAGAACCAATGCACCTGCATTAACATTCTTGGTTTTATTACATCAAAACCTGTTAAATTGTAGTAATTATATATTTATTATTTGTGTTCATTGTGGATTGATTACGCGACATATTTGAGACATGCTTTCAATTTGTTTGTTTTCCTGCAAGAACACAATACGATATAGTCTACACATTTTTGCAACATTTCGGCCAAATACTATCCACTACAACAAACTTCTGAAATGTATATACAAGCAGTAACTAAACCATTAGCGTTTGTTTTAGGATTCCGCACGAGTTCCAGTGCATAGGTCGATAAGTGGTATGTATAGATCTATAAATAAGTATATAACTACTAAACCATCACTGAAAGCTCTTAAGCTTCATAAAAACTGCGTTGTTTGTGGATTTATTTTCAATAGCCAGTCGAATTGAGCTATCAACATTTTCATATATAGTATATGTCTACATGCAAACGATTATATTAATTCATTAACATGTCAGTTTAATGGCTCAACAATATTGCAAAACTTGTTAATTTTCGTCCTTGTTTATTTTACCGTGTGCTGAATTATCTCTAAATTACCATAAAAAGATTATTTATTAAAATCGTCATATTTTGGCCTTATTTCAAGTTGAATAAATTATATTATGGTTATATTTCAGAACCGGCAAATGAGGACACAACGTTTCCTGACAGAAGGCCAACGCCGCGGGAACTTGGTCGTCTGTCCCGTCTAGTAAGCGCCTCGTCATATCAGCTGTTGTTTGTAGAGCTTGGTGTTTCTATACCAGAAATCGATCACGCTAAGAATGATTTGTTAAGCTTATCGACAGTAACTCTGATCACCAAACTGTTTCTGAATTGGTCCAATGCCTACCCGAATCAGACGTTTCAACACATCACACAGGCTATGAAGAACGTTGGCATGGCAACTGACCGGGTTGTTGAAATGGTCGAAACGGAAGCGGAACCACCAGGTGAAGGTACGGAGAAAATTACATCATTTACACAGTACACTTGTACTTCCTTTTCTTTAAGACTGATTTTTTTACACTTCCAGTTTATGTGTACTTGATTCCATCCTAGATTCAATGAAGGTTATAATGGTTCGATTCAGACACTATTATAATGACTTTAACAGCTGACCCATTTTAATATTGTCATGTTTGTTGTTGTCATGAGATGTCTGCAAATAATGAAAATGTAGAAACATACCTTTCGGTAAGAAAATGTAGAAGCCTATTTATTGTATTCTAAATCTTTTAGATATAAGTATCCTTATATACTTAATTGTAAAACCATCTGATTCAATCATACATAGCATTAACTAAGAAAATTTATCAAATTTGATGACTTTTCCAGTTACGATATAAATGAATCATGATAAAAATCTTCATGAGCTATCACCTAATGTAAAGAGATAAACCAAAACGTGATATTTTCCATTAGGAATGATGTGATCATTTCCCGTTCAAAAAGAAGAAATGCTAGATCTTGGATTCAGAAGGTCCATATTGTGATAAAGCATTCCCAGCCCCCTCCTTCCATGAAAAATATTCCACCTGAGTTCGAGGAAGACTTACTCTCATTTTGCCCAGAAGTTATGACAGACGTGAAGATATCTATATTTTGAAGGGTAGCGAAACATCAGAACATGAAAACTTATTTGAGAAACTATGTTTTCATAAGCCCAAATCTCTAATTAAGATATGTAAAGAGATATTTTATTACCGGTGCTAGTTTTGTGGTTTTATTGATTTAGAAGATTTCATGTTATAGCTAAATATTACGCAATAGTTCCTGACTCCCTTTTTTATTTTTTCGTGTCATTATTTTCTTTGTTTTATATAGTACCATCAGAGGTTTTGGGTAGATCTCCAACTGATTCAGAAATCCAACAAATCATCAACTACATCGATAAAGCGTTCTACAACCTCTACTTAGAGATCGGATTATCACCTCCAATCATAGAGCAGCAAATGGTAAACTATCACCAAAACGTCAGAGGAGTGATGACAGCTCTTCTTCACTGTTGGAGAGATACTTTCCAAGAGGAGGCAACTATAGGCAGATTGTTGACAGCGATGAAAATGTGTGGGATGGACTGGTATACAACAGCAAAGATCTGGCCAAGATGTCAGGGAGAAGTTGTTACTAGACCAAAAAAAAAAAAATCAAGAAAAACGTAAATGTTCAGTCATGTGACATGATATACTGAAAAAAAACAAAACACATCAGTACGGATCAACACGAGTAATCTATTCAATTTTTTAAGTTAATTGATGAATCAAATCCAGGGAACATTTCTAATTATAGTAATTACCGTACGGCCTGTGGGATATTATGTGTTTTCTTGTAAACATTAGGAAAATTTCTCGAAAGGTAAAACTCTTAACTTCTCTGAAAGTAAACAGAATATATGTTGTGAAAAGATATGGATTCGAATGAGAAGCTTAAGTTTAAGTTTCATACATATTGTTTTATCACTAATATCAAAACAATCGACCAGAAATTTTAACATTTTTGTTATATTTGTCACATGTTGTAGTTTTTTTATTTTTTTATGTAACAGTTTATTGATACATAACTTTTCTATTCTCGTGGTGACGAGAGTCCGAAACATTATCATTGTATACCTACATTTAGATACTTATTGGGATTCACATTAATGTACTGTTACATGTAGAATCCCTACCTGTACAATGGAGTGCTATCTAAACGGAGAACAGTAGACAAATTGGATCATAGCAGTTGGTTAAATCATATTAGAGTTTGTAAATATTTCGTTTGCTCATATTTTGCCCTAGTTTAATTGAATTTGAGCTTGTATTATATTTATGTTCACATGTTGGTATTTTTTCATGTTTTGTACACCATTGATGAGACAAAGTGTAGATATGGTCTATTTACGGCAGAAATTCAAAAAGAACAAGCAGATTCATGGAATTTATATCCCCCGCTTTCCAAACATATTGTAAGTAAATATTTTAGTGGTTAGGAGTAAACATGTCATAATGCTATGTAGAATGATATATTCTCTTGAACTATGATGTATTGCTTTAAAGCCAAAGAAAGATGTAAAGGATTATAGAGAGTAGATGTTTTATTGGACATATCAAATATTAAAGTGAACTAATGGAAGAAAACTTGTATGTTAAATCTAAATCAGATTATATTTAGGAAAGTTAGAGCACAAAAACTGACCGACCAATGAAATGAAAGGATACCTAATTAGTATGCATAAATATTAACAGATGATGCTGATTGCTGAACGCAGTCGTGTGTGCTCTAATATGCATCTGCTTACCAAGTTTTATCGAAATCGGATTATATAGGGACGTTAAAGCACGGAAATTAACCGACCAATGAAATGAAAAGATACCTAATTAGAATTCATCATTATAAACAGATGGCACTGGTAGTCAAACTCAGTCTTAATGACCCCGAGATGCATCTGCTGACCAAGTTTCACCTAAATTGGATGATATTTGGGGAAGTTAGAACACGGAAACTAAAGTGTGACAGACAGACGGATTGACGGACGGACAAACCCAAATTAATATCCCCCGTGTCGATGAAAGCGGGGGATAGAAAAAGTACATAATTACTGGTATAGGTATATTAATCTCGCTTATGATACCAGGTCTTTGGAAATTATAATTGCTAAACATTTTTTAAAAATACATAAAATATACAATTATTTCCTATAATTTGTACAAAGTGTCAAACAAAAGTCGAAAATATTTCAACAACTGGCGAAATTTTTATAAGCTTGAGGAAAACAACAATTTGAAATTCGATATTGTGATCATATTAGTTGACAAGAAATCACAGGATATAATTTTTATTTCGAATAGTATTAAATAACCAATGCATTCGTTGGTTGTTAACATGAACCAGATCCCTTCGCTGTGAAGTTTAACGTATAATCAACTTCTTGAGTTCACCATATCAGGACGACATGCAGATGAATACTTCATTTGCTGGACCGCATTATTCATTAATCCAATATGTTTTAATACATGCAGGACTTTTATTTTCTACAGTACAAAATATGTATAACATATTCTAAAACTGAAAACAGATTTGAAAAAATAATTATTTAGATATCTTTTTTTATATTTTATATTTTACTATATTATTAATATGTTTATAATTCCCTTGACATCCGTTCTACTTGTGTTTGTCTATCTGGCTTTCATGAGATTTGAACCGAATTCAATTTATTGTTTTAATATCAAAACAATTATTGGATTAGAAGGCGTTGTTCAAAATTATCTGACCTGAAAATTTCGAAATTTATCCGATGATGGAGCTAGTGCACCTCCCTGTCTAGATTTTGACTTTTCTTTCGATCACTTTGAATTTTCCTTAGTCGCCTCCTAGATTTCAACATTTATACCCTTAGCATCACTGCCGAGTCCCAGCTGCATGCTGAAGTTTAAATAATTTTTTGGCTCTAATCTAACTATAAATTTGTATTGAAAGGTGCGATTTACTGTGTTTCCTTTATATAATATTCAATCTCATTTAATATTTACAGGACTTAAAAAAATAAATGCGTTTTCGTCAAATGAATTTTGATCTTTATCGCAAGACATAAACAATTTTTCATTGCTTTATGATATTGAGATCTAATATTAATTAATTATAAGTGATATTTGCCAGGGGTGTGGGACTTTCACAATGAAACAAAAAATTAGTAAGAAATGGGGTGAAATAAAGCTCCGCTCTTCCTTCATATGGTTTAGTTGCATTTCGCCTTCCATATTTAGTAGAGTATATCCCATAGTCTCCATGCCAATCAATATCTAATACATTTTCTTGTTAAGCACGTGCATACCTAACGACGTTTTACTTGACTGTATTACAATTGTTCACCTACACCTTCACTTCAATGTCCTGTATTCAACGTGAAATTTAAGTCGTGGACTAAATTTCGAAAATAAACTGTTCCTGTTATAATGTTACATGGTTTAATAAAAACTGACATGAAGTCTGTTTGGTGTGTTAGACTGTTGTTAACTTGCTTGATTATACTCATTTGATTACACTTGCTTGATTACATTTGTGGACAAGCGTGCCTCTCAATTTAGATACCACCAGAAGAATCAAATGCTAGAAGTGGAGGTTTCAAGGGACACCCATTGGTGAATTCCTTTTATTGCTGTGTAAAAATGTGTCAAGTGTGTACGCTTTTTGCTTTGTCTTTTAATCAATAAAGAATGACGTATTTTCCATTTCAGAGTTGAGAAGATTCTATCTTGTTTGTTTGATTATTTACACCACGTATTATATAAATCATATGGAATATACATACAGTTTACCAGGAAAATCTTTTACTCCTCATTCTATTGTATATATTATACGGATTTTTAAGGCTTAATTTAGGTCAATTTTTGATAAACTAAAAGCAGATTTACGTTTCTCATAGATACGAAATCAATATACGTTAATCGTACTAAGAATAATGCGAATATTTTTTATTAAAATACGCTAAAATTGATTTCTGAAATTTCATCTTTTCATATTCATTTGGAAATTATTTCTTTACACAGCAGGCATTTGCATCGATTGCGCAATAAGATTTGCTCGTTAATCACGAAGCCCGAGTACCCAGTATTTCCGAATCATAATACTGATGTTAACTGTTACAACTCTGCCTATTATTATATCTTATAGAACACAAAAAAACCTTCTGGCCTGGAAAAAAATCTAAATGAAATTCACAGAGCGTTTAAAAAGCTGCAAAACATTTTCCTTCAAGAAAAATAAAATGTCACTGAAATTACACCAACATTCCAAAAGTGTTTGAAAGCTTGGGTCTAAACATACTCTAAAGATGGAGGAGTTGGGGGTCATCTTGGATTTCATTTTCAGAAAAAAACAATAGTTATTGATCAGAATCCTGTAATTATTATTTGCATGAATTTTCACCAAAACTTGCCGAGAAAAGTGTGGGAATGACTGACACTCGACCACAGATGTCCATAGGGATCGCTTATTTTAGTTTTCTGTTAAGTTGAACTAAAATAACACAAAGCTAAAATAAAAATAAGAGAGCATCCTTGTTTAACTGTTTTAATAATTATGAATATAAAATTGATAGTAACGGGAAATACAATTAAGTCTTTCTTGAAATAATTAGTTTATATTATGATAAAAAAAACAGACACAGATGGATTTAAATGCAACACTGTAACTGAAATATAATACAAAATACTGTGTAACGCCGAACTGTAATTGAAAGGGAAAGGATGTAAAGTAACGGGCCTACCTAACTACTGGTATATACATGTACATCTATTCGACCCGCTTCTGCTTCTTTCTTTAGTCCTTCACCTTTTCATCACTTGGTTGAAATTACGAAGAAATTATAACATAAAACATGATCTATAAAGAGTTTACTTTGACAGATAAATATAAATATCGTCCTTTTTGAAGAAAAAATATACATTTTTGTAATTTAATTAATACCCGATAGAAATGGCATAGTGTTGAATATTTCTTGTTACTAATTGTTACTATAGCTTAACACAAAGTAAAGTATCACATCTTATCAATAAGTAATAAACATCCGATACAAAAAAATCGTGTTGATAAAATAGAAATAAGTAAAACAATAAAGAAAGACTTGAGTATTTAAAACAGATCGCCGAAATCTTCAGTATTGCAGTTTACAATTCAACAATCTTACACCGTAGGCGATAACATCCGACACACAGTTATCCTGCTTTGTGCCTATACTAGTCCAAGATATCATGATGATCTATCAACTTGTTGGTTTTCCCTGAAATCCCAGACCGATATACAAGTTCTATAATACATCAAAATTATTCGGATTATCCAAATACAGTATTGTAACATTATAATGGTAATATTGTCGTTCAGTCAAATTACGAATTGAACAAACTGTAATACAATGTTTTTTCCTTTTTTTTATTCAGGTAAGTCAAACATTATTTTATTGAATTTTTGAAATAGAAATTGTGATAATTTAAGGAAATGTAATAATTTTATCCTTTTTTTTGTCAGTAAAACATTAAACTGTAAAAAGTATGTGCTTGTATGCAAAACACAAACAAGACACGGCAAAACACATCATACACGCCATACAAGTCATATACCCTTACGGTACAGCCGAAACCTTAATGAGGTCAACAAATCCAACCCGTCAGTCGATATACGTAATTTACCATAACCAAAAAAAGGACGTCATCAAAACCAACCCGTCAGTCGACATACGTAATTTGCCATAACCAAAAAAAAGGACGTCATTAAAACCAACCCGTCAGTCGACATACGTAATTTACCATAACCAAAAAAAGGACGTCATCAAAACCAACCCGTCAGTCGACATACGTAATTTACATAACCAAAAAACAGGACGTCATCAAAACCAACCCGTCAGTCGACATACGTAA